GTCTATGAAAAGTGAACATAAAGGTGTATAAATGTACAGATAGATATATGGGATAATACGTAGTCAGTCAACAACAACGTAGGACTTCGTACGTACGTACATCATCTCAAGTTGCCATTACCACATTAGAACACAGATATAATTGTCGATTTAAATCCCATAGTGGTAGAGGTAGTAAAAGTATAAGCAGTAACCGGAAAGATTAGGGTTTGAAGATTTTATTTAAGGAGTATAATCCAGTGAAATAAATTTGGAAAGAGAAAAAAATAAGGGACATGAGGAATTCAGAAGATTAGAATTTGGGAGAACACAAAGAGTGGATACACCTGCGCCATTGCAAACGATTTTGAGCCATGTCATTCAAGGTCTCTAACCATCGGTTGCTATCATCTCGCGGATCCCAACCAGGTAGTCTATACCTACCAACATGGCTCAGTTCACTTGTCAATGACTTCATGGATTTGTGCCATGTTGTGGTCTGGCCGCCCCTAGTTTTCTTCCAATCTACTCCTACACCATAAAACATAGCATGTCGGGGTAGTCGGTGGTTGGGCATACGTAACACGTGTCCTAGCCATCTCAACTGATGAGGTTTCACTACTTCAACAATTGATTTGGCATCCTTACCTAGTACCCGTTTCCTAACGACTGCATTACTTGCTCGGTGGTCCCAGGATATACGAGTAATGCTTCGAAGACACCTATGATCGAGTACTAGTAACCTATGAATATCTTCTACTCTTACCGCTCATGTTTCACAGCTGTAAAGTAGAACGGGACGAACTGCTGCGTAGTAAACCCGTCCTTTGGGTGGTAGACGTATATCTCGCCTACGCCATAAATGATGCAAGTTGGTAAAAGCTAGTCGAGTCTTCTGTATCTGTGCAGAAATTTCGTCCCTCACCAAACCACAAGGGCTGATGAGACTTCTCAGATAAGTGAAGCGACCGACACACTCAACTACTTTACTCACTATTATTAGTTCAGGTGCCGATGCAGCCCAATCCTGAAGCAACATTTTGTATTTCGAGGGGGAGAATCACGTCCCGAACATGCTTGCATTGTTGCTTACAGTGTTCAGAAGACTCTGCATTTTTTCAGTGTCTTCACCAAACAGAACTATATCATCGGCATATTCTAAGTCAACAAGCGAATCTCCCGGTAAAAGTTCAACTCCCGGAAATTTAGATGAGGAAAGTATTATCTCTAAAAGCACGTCAACGATAAAGTTAAACAAGAAAGGAGAGAGTGGACAGCCCTGACGAACACCACTTGAGGTAATCAATTATGATGAGAGTTCGCCATAAGCTCTCACTCGACCACTTGTGTTCGAGTAGAGAGCCTGTATATGGTTAATGTACTTCTTTGGTACTGCTTTCAGTGACAAACACTACATTGAAACCTATTTAGTTATTTTAGTTTTGAGAAATCCATAGAACTGTCAATTAAGAGTGCTTACAACAAACTGACTAATTGATTTCTCTTTATATTCTGTTGTCGATTTCCGAACGCTTATCGATAAAGAAGTGTGCTTCTATTAATTATTTTGGTTCACGGAGCAGTCAGGTCTAAAATTATTGTTCAACTTATAAAAATCCGGACATCTCAGGAGTAAAATTGTCCCGTCTTTACAACTGCATAGGCACTAGTAATTTTTGACTACAACCTGAGAGTTGAACCACTGATCCACACTTTAGAAGATAACAATAGTAATAATCATTTTCAATATGGTTAAGTTCAATTAGTTGAGTTAAATAGACTTTAAAAATGGACAACCAAGTGATTCTCCGTTAGGAGCTCAACAGTCATGTATATATAGCACTATAATTGAAGGTTGGTACCTCAGTCATGGAAGTGTTCAAAGAAACCTAGAAATAGGGATCAATCCCTAATGGTTCTGCACTTTCTAGTGGTCTATCAAGTAGTGTTGATTACTGGAGAAAACTGTCGTTGAGATACAATGAACAATATAGTTCAGCATGTTTGATTTAACCACAAATACTACAAAAAAGTGAAGGAAACCTCTTCAACTTACACAAACATCAAGCCCATATTTTTCTTGAGAATATTTACGAATATCGTGATATGCACTCTCTTGTAATATACGTCTTTCCAAAGAAAAATCTATCCAATTAGAAAAACATAAACATATATTTTATAACACTCAATTGCCTAAAATATATAGCCACATTTTTTAATATGTAATGAATCATTCGGACCAAGAGATCCACTTTTCATAAATCTATGTTCTTTAGTGTTCACTAGGATTTGTCCTCATGTCTCTTATATTGATTTTATTTTAAATAAAAGTTCAGTATTAACTTGTTCTTACATGGTCATTACTTATTATTAGGTTAAAAGTGAAAAACTGACTCGATTTACAGGGTGCAATTCCCAGAAATATCTCCCTAGTTAAAGATATGTGATAAGTGATGTTTTCTTAACGATAACCAGGATTTAAATATGCATAAATGATTGATTTCTTGAATGCCGACCACTATGAAAATATAAACAGAATATAATTTATACGAACGAGAAATGCTTTTAAAAACATCAAACTCTGTTGGATGATCATAAGTAACAGGAATTTGGACTGAAGTTTGAATCTCGATTTATCGCCATTCACAGTCAAATCATTTAACCTAGTAATCCCAATAAACAACACAAATTCGATCGATAATGGGTATATAATATTACGATCAATAACTTGAAAAGTGGTTATTCTTTTGGATGCTATCCCCGAATGGTTCGGCGGTATTGTTTGGGACTGCAGTGCAAAATGATGAGGGTTTACTTTTTTGACTTATGTTAACAAGAGATATATAGCCTTCAAGTTATATACCGGTCTTCATTTTATCAAAAACAGAATACGTCGAGTGTAAAATTACAGAATCTATTCGAAAGCTATAGATAAACATGATGGAAATTCTATTCACTTTCACAAAACGTATTTAAATTGGAAACTGACGAGACTTTGATCTAGTTGTTTGAATATTTGATAAGAAGTTAACTATTTATCGATTCACTAGAAATTGTATCTATGTATATTCAAATTTTAGGTATAAAGAATAAACTGGGTTAAATTACTGCAATTTCTTTTGGAAACTGGTTTTAATCACACGTCAATAAAACCTAGGCAAATCATTTGTTCGTATTCTGGAATTCCTCGTAAGTACTCATTAGGGATTCTTATTACGTTTGAACAAACACATAAATTCACTATCGATTGACGCAAAATACTTTTATAAACTAATGGCATGAAATAAACTGCTATATTTACAATAAGTTTAATATCTACGACCTCATTTCTAAATATGATTGGGGAAATATTAAAGTGGATGCCTATTGAGCCATATATATTTCACTCTTACATACATAAGTACGTCACTGCACCAAACTTGTTCAGTCAGTTTTTATGACAAACACAAATAGTAACTACAATGTACTACGCGACTGAAATATTTTTTAAAAGATTAAAAGGAATACATTTTCTCACCTGTGTAAGCTGAACAAATGAAAAAATAGATGGTTCTAGGACTGATAACTGGTAATTCGTCAGGTTTTATACGACCCTGACATAATGGTAGTAAATAATTCATTTGTATGTATATATGGTTTATTCGCTTCTGGCCAAATTTATTTTGCTGTTTATCTAGTCAGTAGTGATCAGATTTGATTTTATTCTTATTAGTGCAATAGCAAAAGCAGTGAAAAATCAAAAAGAGAAATAAGCGCGATTGTACACTGTTGTCATAGTGAATTTGATTCCTGAGACAACCAATCACATCTAAATGAACAGTTATGCGTTAACCTGATTTGCTAAACGATGCAGATCGATATTTGGCGGAAATTTATTGCAAACGCTTAAAATGCAATACTTTTCGTCCTTGCAAGATTTAGCTTATAAAAATTGTACTAAAAGAAAATAAACTTGAAATTATCATTAACAGGACAGCTTAAGAGATATTGGCAGATGCTTGATATAAAAATAACGTTCCTTATCTTGTACGGTTAACAGAATACATGGAAAAACAAGACGTCAGAAGACACGTCTAATCACTAATAATATAATTGAGACGTATCTTACTAACAATTAACAGGTTTATATACAAGGAAGTAGGGTACATCATCTAAAAGCTACCGAAAACCATAGGAAGGGTTGGGTTCCAAAAGAAATTCGGTGTCTAAACAGTGAACTACAGACCCGTAATTTAAATGACATGAAGCAATCGCTTGTTTACAAGAGATCTTTGTAGCCTTTCGTTATCTAAAATGGAAGTGAAAACGCTGTTATGTTACTGAGTTAAGTGAAACAGATCACAGTAGAATTTTACGTGAAAGAGCTTCTGAAGTGTTGACGAGACGAGGAGAGGAAATAACGTATGAGAATCTATATCCTAGACATGTATCTATTGGGATTTATAAATTAACCTATATAATCACGTGAGGTATTAGCATGACTAATAAATGTATTGAGCCATTCATCTGGCTTTCTGACTGGTAATTAGGCAGCGTGGAAAACTAAGTGGTCTATTGACCGAGTGATGAATACAGTAACGGAGCTAATGAATGGATTATCAACAGCGTAGGCAAAGGCACAACAACAACAAAAACACTTCTGAGGGAATTCAAATACAAAATATAGCTGATTTACAGATAAGTGATTCCCATGATAAAAATAATGATACCAACAAAAACAATAATATCTTATGCAGAAAACTTTCCTTAACAGATTTCTTATTCTATTTTATTTCAAATGATTTTTTTAAAGACGTAAATCCAAAGACTTATCATTCCCTGCTAAGTTTGATGATAGGCCAGCAATTTTTTCTATTTTACAACTATCACAACGTTGTTAACTTCATTGCAGTTAATTAGATTATTTTATGTACTTTTAATGGAAGAAATGTAGCATCTACTATACCAGATTGGATATAATGATTTATTTATGGCTCCCTTTTCAGGTACGTGGCATATTTCCATAGAAAACAAAATAATATTTCTTTAAAAACTGTGAATATAATTAAAGCTAAACTGTGAATATTTACAAAAAAGGAGGCGGAGCTAGTGAAAAATCGCAAATAAAAAGGAATTACAAATGAGAATATTTAAAAAAGGAACTCCACTGAACAGTAGTACAATTCCGATGAAAATCGTTAAAAATGCGAAAGGTAATATTGTTAGTATACAACAAATTCGATTTCCCTTTAGTCGACTGTTGGATTATACAAAAGTCAGTCACTTGAACAGAATTCCACGACTCTGAATCGAACAATTTCTCGTCTGCCAATAATTTATGAGGAAGTTTTAATGACTGGCTAAGCTTCAATGGGTCAAATAGAACAAATTTGGCACGACTAATCTGTCCACTTGAAGTAACGGCAATAATAGTCCATTCACCAGAAACAATATTAACATGTTTTTGTACACAGTTCATTAAAATTGTATTTTTAAATAGACTCGTAGTGATATATAGTTCTGGCATAGCCAATGACCGAACAGTATGTTTATTTTGTACAAGTGGTAATTTGAGTTGTTTCAAACAAGGTACACCTAAAGGATTGATTAAAGTGAATACAACTGAAGTTTTGTATATTTTATGATCGGAATTCCCTTTCCATAATACTAAAATAGTTAAGGTTTCTTGTAACGTTAAAAAACGTGGATAATTACGAAATATTTGTTCTTTGACATCGAAATTTGAACTGATCTACAATATTACAAAAAAACGCTAGAATTATATAGTTCTACAAATATTAATCACGTGAGTTTAACAAAATAAGGCAGTTACATTTCTAAAAGGTTATGGTAATTGAAATGCTGTTAAACTATTCAACTATAATATTGCCGTCTGGGAAAAAACCTTTAACAGACATCCTATATGATTCATAATCTTTGACCTAGTAAATACATCTACTTAAGTTTAGCTTACATACTGAACTCTATAATATTGTTTATTTATTTTATTTCAACACATAGATATTGGTACAAGGAGGCACCAAATACATATACGCCACACAAATCTCAATTGATTTGTGTGAGGGCTGTGATACTGCCCGGGTGCCCAAACCGAAGCAGGTGGTTTTCTTAGGGGGCCACACCCCGAGCCTTTGACCTAAAGGTCTAGTCCACAAGGCAGTGGAGCATCGTAAGGAGATGCAGTCCCATGGTAGCCGGTGACCAACGATTGGTTCATACGCCATTTGTTCCTTCAGGATACTGGAGCCCATGTGCACCATTGGTTTGGGATCCGGTTATAGCGCCGGACATTCGCTTTTCGTCCTCTCATTTTCGTGAACAACACCCGCGCCACGAGAAGGCAGTGAGTAGGACTTCCCTGGCAGGGGCTATGTACGCGTGGCCATGTGAGAGCATTTCGAGAGGGAGAGCGGACTCTCCCCACTCTCGGCGGTACCAGGGCATTTGGGGACGAACTCTATAATAACTTAATACCCTTTAAAACCAAATAGAAATTAACACGATATTGCTTTCGTAGTAACAACTGTTTTGAAAAGACGGCTAATTATATTATTTACATGTTGTTTAACGGATATATATATATACCTTAAACAATTAAAAGTGTACGTCTCATCCCTTGGAAATGAATGCCATTCCTTGGCCAGTCACTGATTATTTGTCCTGTTCTTGATTGGCTCAGTGTGTCAATATTATTAGCCGTCTTTTCAAAACAGGTGTTACTACGAAAGCAATATCGTGTTAATTTCTGTTTGGTTTTAAAGGGTATTAAGTTATTATAGAGTTCAGTATGTAAGCTAAACTTAGTCGATAAGCCTTTCCCATTCTCAGTTTTTTCACCCGAGTAGCTGGTTGGGCTTATGTATAGGAAGATTGCGTATCAGTATCAACTCACGGACACCAAACATCACAACATATATTTGATAACTATACTAAAATTTAAGTACAGGAAGATCTCAATTAGTCGTAGTAAATTATGCTCAATGGTAAATAAATCCTAATGATTTGAAACAACCATGCTTTAAAATTAAGATCATAATCTTAAATTTGGTTCACAAGTTTGTTCGTTGGATGCATTCACCAGTAAAATATGATTCACTAGTTTAGCAAAGAAAAGAAAATTTTCTTCGCTGAATTCTCTTTTTTCTTATGCAATAACATTATGGGTTATTTTAATTAGCAACTTAGCTTGGAGTCGTCAGATAACTTTAACTAGTACCTCAGTTGACACTGAACAAATCATTATTGAAGGCATTTATATCAAATTGAAATACTTGGGTTTCTTAAAAGATAGAGCAGTAAGAATATAAAGTCTATTTGAACTTCGACATAGTATAGAGCTGACAATGTGCATAAATTTGTTTCCTTAATAAATTCCTGAAATCTAATGGAACGTATGCCTAATTATTATTTACGAGAAAGACAATTCATTCATGATGAAACTAATACCAAAATAGATACAACCAATATTTCTTAATAATTATTAGAGGTTTGATTTATTTAAAGATAATTATTGTCACACTGATGCCAGTTGGGGAACGATTGGAAAGTTTATTTGTTCAAGGCTGGAAGCGAGACAGATATCCATTGGTGATATTAGGCGGTAATTCTTCTGTAATGATAAATTGATTAAAGTTAGAATATATAGATCACTGAATCTTGACTCAGTGTTGTTTTCGACATACAACCTGCATATTCTAGGTAGGTGATGTTAGGAAACGTAAAATCAATCACACTGTTAGTATTAAAGTTTTTTGAATAACAATTTTGCAAACAATTAAATCAAAGGGTTTGCTGGTGTAAAGAAATATCACAAGAAACAGGATTAAAAATCACTCGCTATTGATCTACATAAGAGAACCCAACTTAAATTAGATACTTGCTCTTTCATAATGATAAAAACAATTTTTAGTAGTAACGTAATTGTTTTCAGGTTGTTTATAAGTAAAATGTATTGCTTTACAAATAATTAGTAGTAACGATCTTTTAAAATCATAATCTAGTAACACTATACATAGATGGGAAAAAATTACTAAACCATATTTAACTTAAAGCAAAATTGTCTTTATTCTCCTCTTTGAATATAAAATTATCATTCTGTTTATTATTATGAATGCAATGATTTTCGCTGCATAATTTGTTATACAAAGAATATACAATATGAATCAAAACTGAATAACTTACTTCTAGAAACCCAATATCACCGGGTAATAAATTACTAATGGTATCTAGAGTAGTGAAACTAAGTGATGGTGGATGTAACAAGAATTCTACGATAAAGTGGTTTCTATCGTTAATAGTACTCAAATTTGTAAATTCTGTCAGCCGAATTTGTATTACTAATGGAGGTACAATATTCCTTTTATTAACCCATGTATTCAATAGCTGATTTGATGGAATATGATAGAATTCTTCCCAACCTGTTGCATTGAACAACGCAAAACTATTTAACAACGATGACTTTACATCTATAGACAAATCAATAAAATTATTGAGTACGTGAATGGATCAGAGAAAAGAATAAATAGTAAAATATAAATGAGAAGTATAACAAACGTTCAAATTTAGAGTGGGTGGTTATCGTTTTTAAAAAAAAAAAACAGAAATCATGTTTTGAAAAAGTAAGCGTAAATTATGGACGGCTACTTTTTTCGGTATTGGGATTACCCAGAAATGTGAGTATTGTTGTAATTTACGAATCACTCATTTCTGTTAGGCGACATTTATCACTATTAGAAAAATGCATTTAGTGAACAGGAGAAATAAATTAAATTAGGTTCTAAAGGATTACTGTAAACCATAATTTTAATTAAGCCAATAGTAAGGACACAGTCGTCAAATATACCGTAAAACAACCATGTTTTATTGCTTAGTATTCTAAAAATAAATAAGTCCACAAAAAATGTATTGCATGGTGAAGTCTCAGAATGAATGCACGCATTTTCACAAACAGCATGTAAAAAAAGAGGTAGGAACTGTTTACAATGTCAGTGATTTATACATTAATACACTATGCCTGGCTTACGTAATTCATCATAAATACAGCTAACATCCTGCATATTGAGAAAACTATGCTCGTTGAAATCGTCAAATCATTGAAAATCAGATAAACACACTTCAACCTACACAATAAATCAGGATTGTAGTTAAAATTTTGTAAAAATTGATACATAAGTTTCTTTGATAAACACTTCAAAGCTAAATACATTGCTTGTTGATGTGGATTATCTATTAATGAATCCTCCTCTTTTGAGTAGATATTTTCTAAATAATAATTATCGTTACGCAGGTTAACTGAAACAAAAGAAAAAATAGGATTGATTAATGCAGAATCAGAATTGCTATACTGGACGAGTTCAAAAGGGTCATATCTTGTCGTAAGTACACAATAAGGTGAGTGGCGCAAATGCGGAGGTGGGTGAACTATTCACTTATCTAAAGTGATCCCACCACGTTTCCGCATGGACCAGTTCGACAAATTATATGGACGGAGTTGTTTTTATTATTATGTCTCCCACTCTGGTTAGCCGGTTGGTAGAGCACTTAAAAGGATGCATTAACAACCAAAATCGGATCTCAAGATACAATAAATATACTCCGCAATTTCTGCAGCTTATTTTACAGATTAAATGGATTTAACTATAGTCTAGGTAGAAAATAGACTGAACACAGCTGTTAGATTGCTATCCCAACTTCCAGTCAAAATGGAGCGAGGAACTTTACATGAATATTTTCTACAGTTTTGTATTAAAGTATATAAGGTGAAATATATGCTAACATTTTAAATGATATTTGAAGCTTATCTATATGCCAAACACGATCGCGACATGGCTAGCGTAAAACAGTTACTGATAATTAGAAAAAATGTCAACAAAATATGGTCCACAAAAACTGAGGACAACTTTTATAAGATTTATGTCTAATGTATATAACATTGGGAAAAGGGAGAATAATCTCAATGGGTATTTCTGATTTCTAGCCAAAAACTATAAATTTCACTGAACTAGTAGCATTGTTTCGCCTTAAATTAATCAAATCTATCCAAATGTAGTTACATCAAAACACATACACGTTTATATTTGAATAATTTAGCTAATCACTATGATATCAAAATAATTTGGACAAAAAATGAATCTTGAAATAGACTACCTGCTACATCGGAACGCTCTAACAATTCATATACAACAAAATTTATTATCCCCAGATCAATAGTTGAGTCAAATTTGCGAGCAAAAAATAATGGCTGTAATCCGTAATCTGGCTTTAAACATTTCCCGGTTAATTCACATAAAAGTTCTGCATCTTTTGGTCCGTTCAATGCGAGTGGAGAACAACCACACCAATCAACCACACTGCCATATTTACAGCCACAACCTTGTGGTCTTTTCCAATTGATAAACCGTAGATAATGATTGATGACTGAGGTGCAAAAGTGAGTGTTTTGCGCAACAGTATGAAAAAAGCTCTGTAAGTAAAAAGACATAAATAGATATATTTTAAAAAGATAGGAAACCACTGATTTTGGTCTAAAATGAATCGGCTTGATATCGCAGTGGACGGCTGTTTAAAACAAAGCGTGATTGGATAGAATGACCTTGCAGCATTTCAGATAATCGTCTAATGAAACAACACATTGAAGCAAACCTAACAGAAAATGAATCACAAATTTTAAGAAGACTAAGAATTAGTGGGACCAGCACAAAAAATTATCTTGGATTGTTATGTATCATTATCAACCTTTCTAAAATCCATTCAGCTTTATTCATTACACTTCCATTTATTTATTTAATCAGCAAAATGATCTAATTGCTGCGGTAAGGAACCTCTTGAATTAGTTATGGAGTTAACTTCTTATATTAGATAGTTCCCTCAAGATGTAGATTCATCTTACTAGGGAGCTGAACCTTTCTATTTGATTTTGGCATTAAGTGACGAATCGTAGTTCACACTGGGACATTTCAAAGGGTTTTTTCGTCACTTTACGACCCACATTCAGGTGGAAAAGCTGGACATTTCGTCCACACCCTTAGATAAGCGCTGCCGAACCAGGCCTAATGACACGGTGCCCGACAAATTATTTTCAGCGGAAGCCTTCATCGGTAGAAAACTAAAAACAACTCACTACCTCATGATGCTTTCCCAGAATCCAAAGTTTGCACACTAGTATTTCTCCGTGACTACCTGCCTAACCATAACTGAACAGAACAGTATGTAGCCAGAATCCAAATAATGGTATTGTACAAAGTAGTTGTGGGTAAGGGTCGATGGACTAAACACTTTACTCACCCGTGCATAGGAAGTATTTCCGGGCCGCCTACAAACACTAAAGTACCTCTGAATATCTTTCTAGATACTTTCAGTCAGTGAAACCTCTGTATTAATTATTCTAGTGTGACTTTTCATCCATTGATAATGATATTCATTTGTTTTAACTTTGTGTGGTATTCGTTCAGTGAGATAATTTCCTTAACTAGTAGTTACCGCATGTAATGTATATATAAATGGGAGAGTTTAAATGGTTAATCTTTGGAATTATTTATTTATTTATTTATTATTAGCTTTATTTTGTTGTGACTTTAAGACCAGCTTATTATCACATGATTTATTTGCCAATAGAAATATGACTTGTTCAATCTCCGTACTGTACCAAACCAATGACGTTCGACCGGTATGAGCAGCCTAGCGTGCTTATTAGTCCTTTGTTCGCCTAGCCCTGCCAGTTGAGTCCAGAAAGCCAATAACAGCTCCCACTATGAGAATCATTTATTTCAGACATACTTGATCTATATATAAGCCAAACGGACCATATCACACCATAAAATAGGAAATAATATTTGTTAAGATCAAGCCAAAAGGTGGCTGTGAACGTGAGAGACTGTAATCAATAAACTGAACATAACTTAAGAACAGCAAATCGCATAAAGTTTATAATAAGAGGAATATAGATATACATAATCTAATTACTGAACAGTTATACAATAGGAATATATACAATATTAGTCCATTAATAGTTCTCAGAAGTTACCCGCAATTTAATCTTCGCTAGGATATAACGTATCAATATTATATTTTTGGTACAATATAAAATTCTCAGCACAAAATATTTCAACACGTTTCCGTTTCGTACTTTTTGGTTGATCCTGACGATGGATATTGAATGGTCGCCAGTTAGAAGTTAGCAGTCCAGTAAATCGACATCTAAATAATGTACATTCTTTTCTCTGCATATTGTCAGCAACCACGATGTTTTTGATCGGGCCTTTTGTAACTTGTACAATGAAAGGTTGTACACTTTTCAGAAACGCACATAAATAAATTGTTGAAATATCTAAATGGCACGAACAGGTAGCCCAGATGTTCAGGCAGGCCGCCAGTTCCTACCAATAAATCATTTTTTGTAAGGTTTGTCTTTTGGAATAGACCGGGCTGGGGAAGAATAGAAGCTTAGGTATCCTGGTACCAATGTGTAGTTGGAATTTATCATTGTTATCGCAAGTCATAACAGAAAGTTGTCATTTTTCAAGGAGAAAATGAAATAACATAATTTAACAATTAACGCATGTTAACGAATGTTAGAGACGGTTGGAGGCCACTGGTCTATGTTTTTTGGTAGTTGGCACTTGTCATCGACGGGAATCATAGATCTTGAGGGAACCACCTAATATCAAGCCAAGTGAATCGCTCTGCTAAGCCACTTAGAATAAGAACAATACTGAGACCCAGTCGATAGGATGAGACAAGAATTAGATGACATAACATCAGTTACGACAAGTGATCAGGATAATGTGGAGAGTGGAAAGATGTATGAAGGGACATCGGAACAATGACAGAATAAGAAAATATTCAAAGTTATACGAGACCACTTTATTTATTTGCTTTACGTAAAACCTGGAACAAATGGTCATCAAAAATGGTACGTGTCATACAAATAGCATTCAGGTTGGTTAGAACATTGTTGAAATATGAATTTACCACAAATATTAATCTAATTAACAAACATCGTACATAAGAATTAAAATGATGCTCAACAAAATGCCGGATGCCTAATTTTTGTTTTGCTATTTGAGCTAGTAGTGAAACCTCACTGCGTCACAAATGAACTTGATGTTTGTTGTGATGATGAAACTATAGAAACGAAATCAATTCACCTGGAGACAAAAAGAATATTTGAATTCATGAGTCGATTTAAGCTAGACCACCATCGAAAACCTGGAAACACTGGACGACCGTACTAAGACGAAGCGGCAGTCCAGTGTTTCCAGGTTTTCGATGGTGGTCTAGCTTAAATCGACTCATGAATTCAACTACTAAAAAATTACTACAATCTCCACAAATCCCCATTCTAACAAAAATAAACAAGTGCACGTACATATTGATTATCGATTTACATTTATTGTATGATCAGTTTGTTATGATCAACCTGGAGCATGATTAAAATGTTAGCCCAAGCTGCAACACCAAATCAGCAAAACGAGGTAAAATAGACAAGATGGATAAAAAGGAGTCAAAATAATTGAGTATTACTAATATTTAACGAGGATAAATATTAAAAATTTAGTTTGTAAGCAATGAATACTGAAAGTGAAGATCTGAAGGAATGCATCTGAGCCACAGTGACTGATCGCCCGTCTCCAACTAGTAATAGGGACTATCATATGGACCCCCACCAGGCAGTCTACACCTTATAACATGACTCAGCCTAGCAGTCAGTGGTTTTATGGACTGATAAAACGTTTTAGTTTAGCCGCCCCTGGCATTTTCCAACCCACTTCTACTCCCTCCAGTAGTTGAAATGGGGGTAAGTGGTGGTTAGGTATATGTCTCAGCCACTCCAATCTATGAAGATTCACGATTTAGGCTAAAAATATTTGTTATCCGACCTTCCAAACGAAAATGAACGTTTCGGAATCTAAACGCTCGACCTACTAGTTTACAATTGAATCATCAACATCATTGAGAGACAGGTTAATTATAACATTATGAAAACTACTAAGTATAAAATTTACACTATCTTTATATAAAATATACTTACCTCAACTGGCAGCAAACTATAGCGGAAGTATTCCTTGATATCGCGTAATAAACTAGCATCACTGTAAATAACATAATCCACAAATATTTTAGGCAGTATCATCCAGTCAGAACCACCGTCTAAAATAATTCCAGATGGGACCGATCGTTCACCTAGGTGCCATACATATGAGTCACATTCGAGGAATAACTGACTAAAACCTTGATTTCTTAAGAAACTAGAATGATAACAGATGAAAATTAGGAAAGACTTTACGGTACTAACTGGGTCGAATACGAATTTCATGCTGAAACTGCCAAACAGTGTTTTATAACATGTAACACCGATTAAATTGTTGCTAAAAAAGGAATTTCTAAGGAACGAATAGTATCAATGGGAGATAATCCTTTACTGTAAGTTGACAGACCACGTTTAATAGAACTGTATGCAAACGTAAGTTGTTGCTTGTCAAAGTTTTTTTTAAAACTTAAACAAGCAAATTAGAAACAAAAGGTTAATCTGTTAATCGAAAAACGAACATTTGTGTCCGCCGTAAGACCAGTTTTATTTTAGTTATCAGAAATTTAATCTCACTTTAATGGATGAAATACTAAAACGTTTTAACAACTGATTTCGAATATTCATAATTAGTGGGGACCGTTCTTTGCTGAATGGTAAAACCTTATGATAAAGTCACACAAATGGAAAATAGCCAACGCTATAATGTGTAGCGCTATGTGAAGACAAATCAGGAGCTCAATTCATTTAAGATACAGACCACAGGCATCTTAATGTTGAAATGAATCGATTTTATTGACATGTACAAAGTTAAGGAAAACTGTACCAGTTATTTATACGAATATTCGTCAAGATTAGAACGAATAGTTTGATATAAATTGAGCGCCGAGTATAGAGAAGTCATTATATGTGAAAATTATATTTGAAATAATCTCAGCGATTAAAAGCTATATATTTCTTTGATGTTTTTGCTTTTGATTGTTACCTTGAAGAAGTCCAGACAAGTTAGATGGACGAAACATTGGAATTATTTAAATTTCAATCGCTGAGATTATTTCAATTATAATTTTCACATATAATGTATCAACTCTGCTGCCTTAACTCCTAATTTATGAATGCATATAAGTACTTTGCCATTCCTAAGGGTTTCTATAGTTAAAATTACTACATTTCTCCAATATGAGCACTTCAGAATGATGAAGGTATATTTCGAACAAGAAATGCTTGTAGCACTGTTTCGAAATTCGAGTAATGACAGATATCCATTGACTAGTGATAATAATCTGATTATAGAAGAGTGAAGCGATAATGCTTAGTGTTTAATGGTTGAAGATAGTTTGTAGGAGAACTAGTATAAAGCCTACAGCGAACTTCAATAATTGTTAATACGCTTGTATGATGTTCTCATAAACAACTGCAAAGCACTAGTCATTAATAAACTATATATGTAACAATGCTGTATTCCCCATCCATGAAAGGTGATTTTGAAGTCTTAATCACATGAGATATAGCACATCGAAACGGTCATTAGATTATTCTAAATTTACAAGTGTATCAGACGATAAATTACCTTTGCCCAGTATGACTAAATGAGCGTAGAAAAATTTTATCCCGATTGTGACTCAAATAAGTAACCAGTTCGTGATTAGGTCTATGTATTTAAAAGAAAAATAAAATCAAAAAAGGTAAATTATTCAGATATTCACTGAATGATCGGTTTCACCATTACCAAAATAATCGTAAAATATATCCACATTAAGTGTAATCTACTGGAATTATGACACAAAGAAGGATAGTGGGTAGTATAATAAAACAACAAAAAACAAACTGCTGATTCTAACGTTCTTCATACCTAGTACTCTTATAAGATAATCAAAATAAAGGGCAGTTGTTTCAATCGACAAATCGGAGTGATAATATAATATGCTGAGATCTCTCTACTGTATCCAAACATATAGTATTGAATAAAATGATTATTATCAGTATACTGATTTTATCAGTTACATAAGTACTAACTCATGAGTATTTTAAAAATGAAACATAAAATATCACCTGATAGGCAAATCGCTTTCACTCAAATTGATCACAAAGTCCCATTCCCAATCACTCATATTAAGGGATAAATCTTTTAATGATGACAAGAACATATCAAGTAGACTTTGTCCACCCCATATTGGCGAAAACCGAGTAGATGTTAGGTAGACATTCGACGGGTAATTTCCAATAAAGGATTTAACCATTGTGTACAGATAACCACACCGCTAAAATGGAAAATGGTTTTAGACAGTAATGTGAAATGAATATTCAAAGTACATTTTAAATGGTTATAAATAATTAATGTGGAAAACTTAAAAGGTATAGATAAATATCAGAAGGGGTTTTTGTGGATATTATAGTAATTTCGATAGTTGAGATCATGAGTCAATTGAAGCTGGACCACCGTCCAGTGCTTCCAGGTTTTCCATCGTGGCCTAGCTTCAATTGACACATGATCTCAACTATTGACATATAGATAACTCCCAACAAGGCTATATACGCGTGGCCATGTGAGAGCATTTCGAATGGGAGAGCGGACTCCCCCCACTCTCGGCCGTACTAGGGCATTTGGGGGCACACCTTGAAGAACAGTTTAACGGCACTCCAGCTGCCTTTCATTTGCCTACTTTCATTATGAAACCTGAATGGGATGTCAAAATAAGCTTCACAACTCTTAATGAAGTAGAAAAAAGCAATAGTTAATCCGAAATGACAAAGAGCAGCATGCTCTGATCGATTGACCTGTGAGATCTTTAAAGATGGTAGTTCAGTTTCAGCTGTTTGACTGACTGAGATCTTACTTGGAGTCTGGGAACTGAATGGTTTTAATTACTGATCATTCCAGTCCATAAGAAAGAATAAAATTACTCTTGTGATGATCATAAAGGGATCGGTTTGACTAATACAGTGTTTAGAATATTAGCGTTAATAATAATCAAACACTTGACTAGGGCTCGTGAAGGGAAAACCAGGTTGATTCTAGGACCAGACGTGGATTTACCCACTGAATATTTGCCCTTTGCCAGGTTTTGGACACAGACATATCTACCGACCTTAAATCATAGTTGCATCTCTTGACCTTAAGGCAACCCTTGATCTCGTGGACCGATAGACTTTATAGCAGTCCTTAAACGAAAGGCATAACGAAGAAGTATATTAACCTTGTACAGACTCTCCATTGGACTGTTACTAGTTGAGACAGAGCTTATGATGAACTGTCATCGGAATAGATCATTTTAAGTGGTGCCGATCGGGATTGTCCGCTTTCCCGTTTTTATTTATCTTTGCCCCAAGCATTCTTTTAGAAATAACACACTCATTACCTGACTTTTTGGGAATCAAACAACCAGATTCTTTTCCTGACTTATAATTTGCAGATGACGGTGAAATGTGGGCGAGATATCCGTCTGGCAACTAAAAGACGAATGTATCGAGCAGCTATTGGCTCTGTTCTAATTTATGTCTGTAAAATGCGGCCGCTAAAATTAGAGGATATTGGTAGGTCACTATTATTCGATCATAGGTGTGTTCAAAGAATCGCTCGTGTGTTTCGGGACCATTTAGCACTTCTGAGGATGAACGCATAATGCTAGATAAGTGTGGCATATAGATTGATGAGGTAGTGAACCTTTACCCAATCAGATGGTTAGGTCATGTATTACGCAAGCCTACCCACCGACGACCTCAACGCGCGATGATGGCTGGTGTGTAATAGGTTGGAAAAAAGCTGAAAATTGTCAAAGAAGTGGCGTCATTCCACGAAGACAACCACTGTTGGGCTGAGCCATGTAGATAGATTCAGACTACCTGTCTGACGTCCGTGTGATGATTGGCGCCAATGGTTGTAGACTTTGGATGACATTACTCAAAATCGCCCGCAATGGCGCAGGTGAATTTACTTTTAGTTTTCCCTTAGATTCTAAATTCTTCAAACAACTTTTGTCGCCACTAATTTATATATATTTTTTTGAATCATGTCTTCTATGCCTAACCTTTCGATTAACATTAGTTACTGTGGGATTCGCTCTGACAACTTTATCTCGCTGTTATAATTGGATATGCCAACTTGAACCGATGTACAAATGTGCCAGATTATACATTGCGTATAACTGACTGACTTTAGAGCACGCACATAGAAAACTACTCTGAAATCGGCATAAAAACCCTACGATAAATACAACAAACAGTAACAGCCACAACTTTAGGATCCTTAATTATGATTTCGCTTTGTCTTTAAGCGTAGATATTTAGTTCACCTCTTCTATTCAGTGAGACAAATATTTACGATTCACTTAAAGAAGTACATGTCAGTTTGATACGATACCCTAATATTAGGTCTTGATTGGAGAATGAAAAACCTACAAGCTAATTTACTTCAATTACCTATGAAATTTTGTCGTTTTTACTTTGTGTTCATATTCTGTATATAAGCATGCTATCTCATTATATATATATATATATATATATATATATATATATATATATATATATATATATCTGGTAAGTGGTCATGTTTTGATTTAAAGTTACTTGAGGGTTTGAGAAGGACCAGCAATACAGAAAAGCATATTTTAATATTACAAACTCATAGAGACTGAAAAAAAATACCTTACAAACAGTAATTACTAACCGCATCCACATGAATGTAATAATAATGTCGAGTGTTGTATATTAGCTCGAACATTCGACGGATATGGGGCCAACTCCTTCCATTCCAGACAAGTAGATAGACTATCCTTACTGGTTTCGAAGATACTAGGTCTATAAGACCAGACTTAAGAGAAACTGAAAATAGAGATATTAAATGGCACTACAATACTCGATAGCATTCTTAAGAACTTACATTACAATTCAATGTTGAAGTACAGTAATGGAAATTAATATCACAAATCCCACTTGGCAAATGGTGGGTTTTAAATTGGCGAACGAAGAAAAATGGAATTTTGTTTAAATCTATGTTCGTGGTCCCTAACTTGGTTAAACTCCACCAGTAGCCCTTCTAGGGTTACTTCCAGTTTCAAGACCATGGACACTGGTTTCTGTCTCTTAAATGAAGCAGAAGTGATGAGTGATGAGACCAATTATGACTAAAATATTACCATGGTAGGTAATGTTAGTCAAATCTAGATTAACTGGATGAAACTCAGTAGCCAAGATCAAGTACACGAACCTTTTGGTCGTATGTTTTGTAAGCTAATGACGCTACCAGAATGCCCAAACTAAGGTAGATAGAACAGTGTTTGAATACGTAATCCGATGTGTGAAAGTTTAGTAATAATGAATACCGGAATATGTGAGACAAAAATCCGGGAAAAACCTTAAAATTATTTTGAAATTAAGTAATAAGTTTATCTAAGTGTTCGGAAGGAAAACTAAAAAATTCACTGGTTTTTGTTCGTGTCATTATTTTTACAACTAACTTCTTTAAGCATACAATGTCAATACATATTTTTCGATCCATCCTAATCTCACTGTCTGGATATTAAGTGAGTGAATAATGAAGATAACAAAATAAACAACTTGTGTAAAAGAGCATATCTCTTACAGTAAATTATTTATCAAATACACACTAATAGGCTACACCAGAAAATAAAAAAATTACCGGAACTTACGAGGAACGGGATGCCAAGGAGGACTTGCCTTTGTCGCATAAACCCGGACCGGGACTGGGTCAGGACAAAATGGATCATTATTAGGACCGAAGCCGTGTCCTTCAAGAGTGCAAGTAATGCTGCATTGAGAAAGAGGGATGCTTCTAGACTCATTCGGCAGCTGCATCATACACCAGCACGTATGACCAGGACCTAACCATGAATATGCTATGCCCAGAGAACGACAGATGCTCAGACAATCATTATCATCTTTGTGTTCACTTGATTTAACGAAGATAAGTTCACTGTGACGGATGAGGAAGCAGCCGACGAAGGAAGGTTGCTCGCTAAGGTTACCTGAATATTAAGAAAAAATTATTGCGAAACACAAAAGTCTAAACAGCATCTAAGCTGACATTCGGTGGAGAGGGAGTAAAACAGTATATGTATCATTGAATACCAAGTAAAAATTCTCATACAGAGTTCAGACATATCTTGAAATAGTTAACATTAGAAATTAATGTCACAGGGGTGCTGTACTTGCTAATAACTGTTAAACACTAAAATAAGTCAAGGGGCAGTATCCTAGCCCTCAGATAAATCGAATGATTTATGTGCCTTCTCGTACCTATCCTTATGTGTTTAAATAAATAAATGTCTATCTCTATCTCGATGAAACTGGGTCACTTTCCTTCGTAAAATGAGCGATTAAGCAAACGCATCTTAAACTATAAAAAACCTTTGTAAATTACTTAAGACAATGATATATTTTAATATTCGCTGTACCCTTAACCAACAACTAGATACCTAGTGACAAGGAACTAAGTAAAGAAAAAAGTTACAGTGAAAAACATGTAATATGGTTAAGCTTTACCTTGAACATGACAAAAGCTGCTAGAAAAGCTTTCGTATGTAACAGGAGAACAACCTACACCAATAAATACTTGTTTGCAGCTTTCCGAATGTGTGCGGTTGTAAGCACTCCAAACATATTTGTTACTGCGAAGACACTTTGTTATTTTATTTTGACTACTATTTTTGTTTGTAAGAATTGGAATTTCGATAGTCTTAAAAGAAAACGATTAAGAATATACGAGTTTAACTCACAGACAAGAACGGACTTTTGAAAACACATACATACAGCTGATAATAGAGCTGTATAACCACGAAAATACAAGTAAATACGTAACAAACAACCATATGGTGTCTGGATATCGCTGATACCATTATAAGTTAGGTAAGATGCCATTTTAAATGTGTAGTAACGAATACATCTCAAAATACCGCGTTAGGCCACAAATGGTTAAAATGGTTTTGGACGGAATAGAAGCTTTCGCCTTACGAGCTTTCGTATCTAGTAGTAATATATCACCAATACCTCCAGGCAGGAATCTAGGCATATTATTGATGAACGAGGAAGAAAGAATAGGCAAATCATAGTAAGGTACTGTCATTAGTCCTTAAAAATGTGTCAAGTTTTCTCCTAAAGGACTCCAGTGAAGACGCCTGGAATAGCTAAGCCGGCAGCGAATTCCGGCATTTGACTACTCTTAGGAAGTAGAAGGTCTGTCTACAGTCCGTTCTGCTATGTTGTGTCTCCAGCTTTCGGGGGGTTTCACCTCTAAGGTTAGTGTTGGAACCAAGTTCAAGTTGGTGTTTAAGGGATGTTCAGGAGTGTTTAATATTCTGTAAGCCATTAGTTCACTCTTAAGACGCCTTTACTCTAATGGGTAAATATTTAATGATTGGAGACGCTCTTCACCAGGCTTTAATTTAAGTACCCGAACTAATTTCATTGCTTGCCATTGGAGACGTTCCGAGGTGTCCTTATCCTTTTGGATTGAAGGAGGGAATACTATGTTTCCGTACTACAAATCAGGGACGAAGAGAACTGTTGAAGATTATGTGAAAAGTTCTTCCTTCGAACTGGTCAAAAATAAGATTCAATGTTACCAGTGCAGGGTTTGCTCCAAAAGCATTTTTGTAAGACTTTAGATCGTAGGGTATCAGCGCTCCTAGATCTCTTTCAACTTGGGATACCTCTGAAGAGGAGTTGCCCAAGTTGAAGCTGCAATCTAAAAAATGTCACAGATGGACTACTTTACATTTTGAAGTGTCAAACTGAAGACTGTTATTATCTGCACAACTTTGAAGGCGAGTCAGAACCTCTTGAAGTGCCAGTTTATCCTCTTGATTGTAAACTTCACACCAGAGTTTTACATCATTAGCAAATGAATATCGTGGTTCTTGATGACTGTTCGTTGCTTGTAGATTTTTAGGACTATTTGAGGAACAGACTGCCTTGTACTACATATGATCGTGTGCAGTAAGAAATCTCTATTAGCATTCACATCAAATTGAGGGGGAACTTCTCAATCCACCTGTTGTAAATTGTCTTGCAAAGTTGACACATCCAACCGCTTGAAATTCCAGCGCCTGTTTTCGGTAGAATCTCTTAACTCAGTTTTGCTGATAAAACTAAAGGCTATGACGTCGTGATCGCTTCTCCTCAGGGTAGCCGGGATTGAGCGGTTGTCAATTTGCAATTCTTTGTTTGCAAATACTCAGTCTAAGAGCGGCGAGTTTCTTACTAGACATTTCCAAACAATATCAGATCATCAATAGGGTTGAAGAACCGAGCTTCAGTAGTTTTAATTTCGGATGTACGCATATCCCGTGAAATTGACTTTAGGAAGATTCAAGTCCCCTAGAATTAGGATATGAGTGAACCCGAGACGAGTGGAGAGGGACAATCCTTCCAGAATACGATTATCGTACTCGATGTCAGAAATGCACTTCCTGAAGATGATTCCAAATAGACACCTCAAGGACCTTTGTTTGTTCACCCATTTTGGGAACGCCTTTGTTCAGGTTTGATGAGAACTTTTCCCCATACCTGACGAGAGAATGATGTTGCTCAGCAAAACCTTAGCACTCATGTTGCACATGCCACATACACACACGATCCGACTTACTGAGTCTGTTTTAAGCGGTTACTGTAAGATCTGTGAACGCTTCATGGAACCAACTTTTTCAATTGTCATACTGCATACCAGGGGTAACAGTAAAACGGCATTCGGCTCGCTAGCATGTATTCATCATGGCTATGATGAAGTAAATTGTTTCATAGATCATAGTCCATGCTTAGTGAATGTCGCTAGTAACAATGAGCCCACACTGGGTTTCAGTCGATCCATTGATGTTCTACGTAACCATAGGCCCGTGAAAATTAAGTTCTCAGACACACATACTTCTGATTAAATCTGAATATAATGCATTGTAAAAAGCGAAGTTCACAGGTAATAAGACCTGGATTTTATGGGTTGTTCCAAGCAATTTTGCACATCGGCATTTCTGAACAGAAAAAGATAGCTTGCTCAGATGACCGTCATCTTCCTGAGAAATGACATGGAACGGATACAGTATTATGTCGCCATGTCTATTCATAGTCAGTACTACGGAAATTTTATTCGCCGTCAAATCCAACAGAAACTGTCTTAAATATAGTCGTTCACTCGACAACAACTATCGTTTCGAACGACCCACAGAAATATATCCTTCAGCGCAATAGTGGTTGTGAACGATAATAAACGAGGTGATCCTAAGCTCACCATTTACTGCACGAACCCGATATATAGATTGGCAGTGATAATATTTAGACCTGTAGGAAAAATTCGTTTGAAATGAAGCATATGTAGATGACTGACGTAGCCTTCTAAGTCTAGATTGTTGTGATGAGTTAGAAGGTGAATGTCCGGCGAAAGAATGTCGATCACCATAATCATCTACATCCTGTAGACAATCATCTTATAACGATGCACTGCGTTGATCTCCATAAGTGCAAACAGATCTGACGAAAAAAATATTTTGAAGTTGGGTCATCTTTATTCTTTTTACATACTGACATGACATACTTAGAGTGCGTTTACTATACAAAAAATAATCAATCACAGAAGTCCTATTACCTTATGTACATTCAAGCATGTCTCAAAATTGTTTCAACTGGTATATCGTCGCGATAACATAACATCACTGAAGACTTTTCCTATATCATTTATCATTACGACGGCATCATTTTTGCTACTTGAAGGACGGATGTTATCGCACAATGTGAATGAACAAATCTAAATTTTTTTTCGATTGTACCGCTTCTGAAAGACCTTACGCACTACCATTGTTCGGGGTGACGCACCTATCATTTTGCAACAGTTTGACCTTCGAGGGCCCAGCAGGCTATATTGGTGGACGATACCACTGAATAGTTGCACTTCTGGCGGTCTTTCTTTTTCTACAGTGCATTTCACATCCATCCTGAAAGGTGTCATGAGGTATGGTAAATTTACTTACATTGTTTTAAAATATTTTGAATTTTCGTGTCGAAATTTCAGTGACACTACTGCCTTGAATTTATCTCATCCAGATTACTAGTGAAATAAAGGAGACATTAACCATGAAAATTTGGTGTGGAATAAAGAGAAAATGCGGTCATTTGCCGCTTTTCTACATACCGTGGGGAGGTTGTAAAGATTTTTCGCATGATATTCAGAGACTCAAGCAAACGAAAAAAGAAATGAAAGCAAACTTTGGAGAAATCTCGCGGAAAATCCTCAAGATAAGTCAGCGTGGATATACACGGCATTTCATGGAAATGTCTTCATTTCATTAGCCCGTAGTAAATGGGGCGCGCTATTTCCCCAAAGTTTACTATAGCGACTTTCCCAAAATTCGTAAAAGTTTCCTCAAAATTGGGAGCTTGGGCGTATTTTCCCCAAATTTCCTCCTTAAGGGATAATGTCTCAAAATTAGCACTTTTATCTTCCCTAAAATGTCTAGTTTTCCTCAGGAATAACTCCGGATTGTCTAGTCATTCGTAGTTTCAACAAGGGAAATAGTTATTAGCAAAGCTTAACGTACTGGTGTAATGTGCACTTCGAAACTTAGCATTAGTTTCAAATCACGTTAATTATACGCTTGTTCGCACAAAATGGGAGAAATTCAGTTAGGTCAAAAATTGGCTAGAAAGCAGGTTCTAGTAAACCAATTTAAAAAACCCAGGAAATAATGCATATTCATCGGTTACCAAACCGGGCTTCAGAGGAAACAACTTTAAGGGTAGTGACCTCAGAGAGGTCCGTGATCTTCCACATGGTGAAAGACTTTCGAAAAGGACTGGAGGACTAGGCTTTAACACGACCCAAGTCACTGGTATGTAAGCTACCTTCTCAAACAGTCGCACAGGTTGACACATGCAGGCAAAACAGAATACGACAGAGAGCGAATTTAGATTGTTTTCGGGCAAGGTAACTCTTAAACGTTACTTACGGTGCGATTAAGGAACAAAATCTATCACGAAGTACGCATAAATTGCCAATTTTAGCCAAACAATGCAATTGTAATGGCGATTGCAAATAGATACTACTATAGTAATCCAACTATTTCAATATACAATACCAAGATGCATAGACGGTTTGTCTGGAGATATTAATTAATTTATTAAATTAAGCATCTGCGGTAAGTTTGACTACCGTTTGAGGAAAAGAGAATGCATTGATCGCAGTAGCCACCGAAAATAGCATTCTAACTAAATATTACCTTACTTACATAGTCTAAATTACTTCATTAAAATTTAGTGTTCTAAACGTTCTATCCCTATTAAACACCACAATCAAATGTTAATCTTATCGTAATCATATTGATTAAAAATATTCAATTAACTAGATTTAATGTGTGTCTATCTACGAAACTAACCGGAATAATTCAAACTTTTTTTACAAGCCCATCAAGCATGCAACCGAAAGCAACGAGAAGTTAGAAAATTATGAATATTATTTATTGTTTTATTTATAGTACAAAGATGCTTTTTAAAAAGGGGATGAATAGGTAGTTTCACATGTAAACGAGATAAAATGTTTGTGAAAAAGTGGAAAACAATACAGCAATAACAAAAATTGCAGTGAAATGTAGTTCATGTGAAAATAAAATGTACAGCTTATTTCATTGAAACTGCGTTCTATGATTTATGAAGTATGCATATTAATGTCCAATTCTATCTATACACAATCATGTCACAATTTCCTAAAATCCACTACATTTACGATACTAGCAGGAGAGGAATTATGTCCCAAAAGATGCAAACATCATTCTATCCGTCACTTAGTAGTGTTTCGTTACGTTAACCAAGATTATGATGGCGTTGAAGGTGGTTGACATTACTAGACCACTGTGGCTAAAACTATGTGGGTACATCGAAATTTCAACAATTTTTAAAGGTTTATAATGCAGAATGCGTAAAGAGATAAACAACAATTTCAGTT